AATTTTGATACTGTAAAGCGTGGTTTCTTTAGGTATTTCTGCATTCTGAATTTAAGTTTAAATATATGTATATTTGCATATATATATGTGGTATGTTGAGAACTTCTACAAACGCTTCATTAACAAATAATAACTATAAATAGCTGTTTTCCTAATGTTACCAGCTTCTTAGAGTTAAGCACAACTAGTTAAAAATAAAATGTCTTTTCTATTACATTCTCCTATGAAAGTGCAGTTCTACTCTTTAAAAATAATTCTGTATGAAGAAGCAACAGATGGGCGCATTCACAGCTCTATCTGTTTAATTGAATAACTTGATGTTTGTTTCCAGCTTCTGACGCTTCTTAGGAGCATGGTATTTAAGCTGGATGAGCAGGTATGTCTTAAGTGGAAATATAGAATCTTTTAGTGGATAATTTTTAACATTCAGATCCCAGGGCAAGCATTATTTTAAGATAAACAAACAGCTTTGTCTTGGAGACAACACTAAGCAAAAAATACAGAATTTTTTAATGACTGTTTTTGAGTCCCTCGCTTTTTTTTTTCCTAGAGTAGAACCACACTTTAACTGCCATATCATGTTTAAATAACTTAAACATAATATGGCTTTGTGCCATCCAATAACGAAGGCACTGTCTTGCTGCTACTTTCTACGAAATGATACAAAATTAATGAGAAACTGTTTGGATGGGGAGCCTTAATATGGTTAAAAAGAAACGCAATTAACCCTTTGAGTGCCTTAAGATGTTATCTTCTTTAATAAACGGGCACTCACTTGGATCTGCAGGCATACAGCATGTTTCCTCAACAGTTGGAATAGAATGTTGCCTTAAGTGACAGTGCCCTGGGTTTTCTGAAACTTAGAACTCAAAGGGTTATTTTAGACTACTATTTTGGGACTTTTTTTAAAAAAAAAAACAGGGAACAAAATTAAAAGGTCTGAAAAATTCCTTTGCATACTATTATTTTTACACGATGGATTCACCAGCTTTCAGGGGCAAAATTATTGTTAATCTTCTGAGAAAACTTAACCGGCCTAAGAATTCTACAGAGATGAATACTTGGTTACCACTGTATGTGCAAAAAAAATTGCTTTATTAAGTATAAATTTAGGGAGAGATGCACATTTGTGTGTGTTTACTTTGATAAGCATGTCCTCGTAAACGAAATTTTAATAAGGCAGTGATGAAACTAGCAAAATACAGTAAACCGCAATACTAAAAACATAACAAGGTTGGTGTGTTTAATTAGCTCATTACACGTTAAAGATGCACAGTGCAGGTAACTGTAGACTGAAGACTTTCTACAAATGCTGTGGTTTAAACTTATTTCAAACCCGCATCACAAAAATGAAGCTGTCGAATTTAAATGATGCTCTTGCAGTCCTAGTTATCTGGAGTTCAAGAGAAAGGTGGTGCTTTTTTCATAAAGCATGTGATGCTTTTTTCCCTTGAGGGGGGAAAAAAGTAATTTAGGTGCATGCAGTGCTGAAAGCAATGGAAATAATAGGAGTCTTATTCACAAGAAGCGAGTAAAAATGCATTGACTAACGTTTTTATTCTACACTGTGCACCTTTAGTAGTGTAATGGTGAATGGAATATAATTTTCTACTTGCATATGAACGTTCTTGAAATACCCGAGTCTTGGCAATGCCTGGTCTGGCTTTGGATGTACATTGTACCAAAACTATTGAATTTTAGACATTTCTTTTAGGCGTTTAACTGCAAGTTAAAATCGCTAGTAAACTGCATTCTGACTGTAGAATTTAAGTACTAAATAAACTCTATGCATATTAGACCCATTTTACTTGGTCTTATGTTTCGTAATAATGCTGGATTGATCATAACATAGCTTGTAGCTGCACGGTTTAGTGACAGTGAGCAGTCTGGCTCCCCTAGAAGGATATCCATTCGTGAATGACACTGTAGAGGCTGATACTTCATAGGGCAGAGTAAAGCTGCAAGAATCTTTATTCCCTCTTCTGTAGCAACCGGACACATAATGTGGTAGCTAGGTGATCAGGCACTGAAATGTACGAGGCAGACATGCATGCAGCAATATCACTGAAAACTTTGTTTGCTTCATACTTACTTCATGATTACAACTTGACATTCAGAAAATTAAATTTAAAGGAATCATTAAATTAAACTGACCCATTATTGTTACTATTGGAACAAAGCTAGAAAGCAAACTAATTTGTAGCAAAAAAAATACAGGATTCTTCTTCAAAGCATAGTATCAGGATGTAATAGCAATAAAATGACACCACTATCTCACACTTAGAGCCCCAAGAGTTACAGGACTTTTTTTATCACCATTTTGGTTGTGGTAAAGCTGAGGCAAGGACATGAAGTAACTTGCCAAGTCCATAAAGTCTGTGTGAGAGAATGATCTGTGATTCAGAAACCCATGGCCTGAAGTTGAGTCCAGCTGATGCAGTGTATCTTTGATCTTCTAACTTGTCTGAAATTCTGTTTATACAAAGGAAGACTAAGCTGAGCTAGATGGCTATCAGGATTTTCTTTTTGCTTGACATTGATGAACTAAGGGAAGCAGTTTGCCTTCCTCATGAAGCCTCTGAGTATCTGTAGCACCTCCAACAAAAGTCCCATTGACAAACACTCTTGGGACCTATCAAGAAAACGCAAATTGCATTAATTATTTCTTGGAAAAAAAAGAAAAATAGAAGCAAGCCCACATGGACTCTAATAAACACACAACAGTTATGTTCTTACATATGCATATTTAATAGTACTGTACAACTCGCACATTTCCAGTATTTAAAGAGATGGGAAACTTTGTTCACGTGTTCCTCAAAAGTGGGATAAAGTCACTGTATGAGAGACTGTAATACATTAAAATACTTTGAGTCAAGTGAGACTATATAAAATCAAGAAATTACAAGATATATGTTGAACACAGTGCTTTAAATACACTCATACAAATGAAAACTGACTTTGAGACTTCAATCATCTTAGTGGCAGTTTGGAAAAGATCACCTCAGAGGGATAGCCAGAGGGTCTCAAGAGGAAGAGACAGCACAGAATCCTTCTGCAGTACCTTGTCTTTAATTTAGGCCCTTTTATCCCAAGTTTATTTGTCTCCAAAAAAATTAAGAACTTGATAGGGTCACAAACCATGAGGAACATCTGTAGTGCAAGATCTTACTTTGCTTGTAACGTGGAAGAAAATATACTTACTGTTCTGCCACCAGTCATCTGTTCAAGAATGTCTTGGAACTGACTCCCATTTGTACTCATGTCCAGTTCTACAGCTGTATAATTGACGTTCATACCATCAAAAAGTTTTTTTGTCATTTTGCAGTAGAAGCATGTTGTTTTAGAGAAAATCACCACACAGTTGTCTGAAATAATCTCCTGTAAGTTCAAAAGAACATTCAAGTCAGTGTGCTTTGTTTTTAAGTATTTTAACAGGATTGAACAATTTTAACAGTATTGAACAGTCATGATAACAAATACAGAAGTTAAAAATCTGACATTATGGTAACAAATACAGGAAAATTACTCTCTGTAAAAGGCTTTGAGGTATTTTTAGCAGGGACAGCTGAAGAGTTCCCAGCCATGCTACGGCGATGGCTAGCTACTTCTGAAGAATCTTCAAAAACACTGTACTTGGTATTCTCAGTTTTTTAAGGTGAAGTGAAAAGCTAGTTTAGCTTCCAAGTTTTCCCTACTTCCAATCTAGACCCACAAGAATCTTAAGGTGAGGAACGAACGACCTTCCTTTAAAAACAAGAATCAGAATGGTGACTTCTATCAAGGCATTTGTCAAGAAGATACCATCACCTCTATGGTGGGTGCAAAACATAGCCACCCCACATTTGTTCTGAAGACCTCTGTGGTGGTCTTACACCTCCTTTAGGGATGCATCCCATACTTTTCACATCAGAGTAAAAATTGCTTCCTAGCTGACTACCAAGGAAGTCAGACTCTTGACCTCAAAAGGTGCAGCTGCACTTGGCCAGATCCCAAAGAGCATCTGCACACAAGTGCAGCGGGCAGTGAGGCACCACTTCAGCAGTTTGCAGAACTACAGGGAAGATAAAGTGACTTCTCCTGCTCCACTTAAACTTTTCAGTAAAAGGTATGCTCTATTCTTTGAGTAGAATACCTGGAATCAGTTAAAACTTAGCAGTATCAAACTTTAGGGAATGCTGCGATCATCTTCTTGTGGGAGTAGAGAAACAGAGGAGAGCTGGCATTAACAATCTCTATCAGAAACACTGCTGGCACCCATGAAGCTGTGTATGACCTGCACTGGACTCCAAAACTGAGCAGAACAATTGTGGAGTACGGGGTACGACTGCCATGCAACCCGGAACCCTCTTCTGCTCTGCAGTCACAGACCCCCGCCCACAGTCGGCCCCGCCACTACTGTAAGTTCAAGGTGATTTCAGCTGTCATTTAGTAAGTTTACTTCAGAAAACAACTTACTCTTTAAATATTTACTTTACTTGGTATCAGTCATTTTACAAGGTTTAAACCCCAAATTGACAGCAGTACCAAATTTGAGTAGAGGTCCGAAAAAATGTAAGCATAGGAAGATGAGGTTCCAGGGCTGCGGATAAACAATGCTGCCAGTATTATCTGATAAACATAAGAATCAGGTTCAACATGCAGAACTATTTAAAGAATTTCTTTGTATAAATCAGAAGGGCTTTTAAGTAACCACAGCTTTTAGAAATGTTGAAAATAAGAATTGCCTAAGTAACATTACCTGTATTTGATTCACAGCAGCATCATTAGACAATCCTACAGAAGTAGGCAGAATATTCCCCATTCTAAAAATAAAAAGAAATTAAAGAAGTCAGACATTTGAGCTTTCAAACAAATGACACATTCTATAGTTCACAAATTAAAGGTGGCCTTCGTACTGTTTTGTTCAACTATTTAATGCCATTTGTCCATTACATGCTAAGTTTACTTCAGCTGCAATCCCTACTGTCACACTCGTTCTTACGTGCCTGCAGGAAGATGAAAACAGAGGTGGCTGTTGCAGACTCTAAGGATAACCAAGGCCGCTGCCTTCGCAAGAGAGAGCCTTCTGTTTCTCCCGAGGATGATACAGACACAAGTGTTGAATCTGACACTGGGCTGTGTGCAACGTTGCAACCCAACTCTAACAGAAGAGCCCACGCTCGTTTTCATCAAAGGAATCATAGAATGTTTTGGGTTGGGAAGGACCTTTAGAGGTCACCTAGCCCAACCCCCCTGCAGTGAGAAGGGGCATTTTTAACTCGATCAGGTTGCTCACAGCCCCGTCCAACCTGGCCTTGAATGTTCCCAGGGATGGGGCCTCCACTGCCTCTCTGGGCAACCCCTTCCAGTGTTTCACTACCTTCACTGTAAAGAATTTCTTCCTTAGATCCAGTCTAAACCTTCCCTGCTTCAGTTTAAAACCATCCCCCCTTGTCCTGTCACAGCTGGCCCTACTAAGAAGCCTGTCCCCATCTTTCCCATCGGCCCCCTTTAAGTACTGAAAGGCCGCAACCAGGTCTCCCCGCAGCCGTCTCTTCTCCCGGCTGAACAGGAGCCTGAAGGCG